TGTGTTGGGGGCTGCGGGGGTCGGGGGGTGTCATGCCACAAAACAGAATAAATAACTTCATACTTGAGAGAACCAAAGAGAATACAGCAACAAGATCACCAATCTTAGAGGTCAGGTGAAGACAGTCAACAGGGGAAGCAAGGGACAGTGGCCTCCACAGATAGAGTTAGCTGTGACTTAGTAACCAACAGGCTAATATTTATGAATACTTGTATAATAGGCTGGCACTCTTGTTTTATCTCATATTTAATCTCCACAGCACCCCGGACATGCAAGTACTATTATTCCCTTCATCTGATGCATAGGGATCCAGAGTCTTAGGGAAGATGAGCAAACTAAGCCCATATGCTACATGAAGGTAGATCCACATTTTGAACTTGGGTTTATCTCACGTCAAAGCAAGGTTTTCATACAACTTCACTGAGATATGCTATCTGCTTTTCAAAAGTCATCAGAGTCTACTTTTCTTGGTGACTTTGCTGTTTATAGAGTATTTTAATTCTGGTTGAAGCACATGCAGTTGCCATTTTTTTGTATGTAAAAAAATGGTGAAATACTGGCAATATTATATTTCAACATATACTTTATTCCTTTGAGTCAGACAGTAATTTCATTTGGGAGTTATGGATGTAACTTTAAATTTGAGAAAACTAAGGACAAGAAAAAAAAATTAAAAATTTTAAAAAAAAAAGAGTATTAGCAACCAAAAGATCAACGAGGGAAGAAGCATTTTGTCACTGCCCAGGCTGAATTCATGCTATTCGACCATCTCTGTGCTTCTTGCCTTCCTGTTTCTCTTTTTATGTGAATACCTTCTCTCCTTTTCACCTCCATGCTTCAAACTCTGATGCAGATGTTTTTCCTCCCATAAGGTTTCCCAAGTCAGTGGAGTCTATTGAGAGCTCAATGTCCTCCAGACTCCATTCCATGGGTCACCTACCTCTTTCTCTAGGATATGCTATTGTCTTAATGCTTTTAATTCTTTTGCACAATTGCTGTCTTTAACTTTGGAGCCACGTTACAGGGTTCCTTTGATAACTCCCTTTCCTCATTTGTGATTCTGAAGTACAATCAATGTTGGTCATATCCTGCAAACACTATTAAGTGATGCATTTCACTAAAAGTTTTTAGAAGAGATGGAGACCATAGACATCATATACTGTGTAGCATTTCATACCTAGAATAATTTTATTTTTTAAAAAGTCTTTCCTCTTACCCCTTTTTCCTCCTAGATCCCCCTAGGCAGGTTCCAAACTTCACCTTCCAGACCCATTCTGCACCCTCCAACCTCTTTCTCTTCTCCTGTTTTCCTGTAGCTCTAGATTCCTTTTCTCATGTAATGCAATATGGCTCTACCTCAGCTTCCCCAGCCTACCTCTTCACGGTTCTTATCATCATGCTTAACAAATAAAACCCACCCTATGTGCCTATCTTCCTTACAAAGTGGCAAAACATTACATCCAATAAATAATTTTTCTTCCCATGATGCTTATCAATATGTGTTATTTTTTTCCAATAGACTAGAATCTCATGCCTAAACATGAGAACATTTATCTAGCACCTACTATGACCAAGCCATATTATGCTCCATGCTTTTTATGACTCTATCTTACACTTGCTATAAAATATACCAAGACCTAACATATTGCCAGCATGGAGCAAGAATAAAAAAAATATGTTGATAAATTGATTTCTATCAGACCCAATAATCTTTCAACAGTATCAAGAATAAAAGATTTAAACTAATAAGACACATATTGTTACACTGAATAAATAAATCTACTAAATCTTAAAGATTCCTAATATGAACAAATTTTTTAATAAGTCTTTACCTGCCTTTTAGTAGATTGAGCTACTAAGCTTTCAAAATTATAAATAAGTTCTTTATGTAAGTTTTTGGACTTGGGATGTGACTCAGTGTTAGAGCACCTGCTTAGCATGTCAGAAGCCTTGGGCCTGATCCCCAGCACTGCAAAAGTAAGTGAGTAAAAAACAAACAAACAAATAATCTCCCAGTAAGAAAAAATGTTCAACTTCTACCAAGAATAAAATAAAATTAAGTGGTCTTTTATGACACCGTAATCTCACTAATAGAAGAAGAAACACGAATTAAAGGATATGTTCACGTTTGTAAATTACATTAATACTTTAAAAAGTATTAATGTCAGGAAAGGTGTAATGAAGCAAGGATGTTACTGAGCATGGTGGCACATGCCTACAATCCCAGCAACTCAGGAGGCTGAGGCAGGGAGGATCATAAGTTTGAGACTAACCTGGTCAACTTAGCAAGACCCTGTTTCAAAATAAAAAATAAAAGGGGCTGTGGATATACCTTATTGGAAAAGTCCTCTGAGTTCAATCCCCAGTAAAAGAAAGAAAGAAAAAAAAATGTCCATTCAGTGCTAAAAATGGGATATAAATAAAAGTATCCCCTTTGGAAAGCAATGGGGGAATGCATATATAAGCCGCTCCTAAGATATTTATATCATTATTTTTGACATTAACAACTATTAAGAATGTATTTTGAGAAAATAATATTTAAAAATGTATGAACAAAGATTTCCACTGCAGTACTGCTTCCAAATAGTAACATTAAAAAACAACCTTAACATAAAACAATGGAAGTATGATTAAATAAACAAATCAATATTATACAGTACCCTAAAAGCCTGATAATAGTTTGAGATGCTATATCCTTGTTTAAATGTTAATTGAAATATTGGAATGCAAAATTTTATATATACACACTCACATACACATATAGTCATTATGAATGTATAAAACTATCCATAGAAAACAATACTGTGGATATCTTCATGTCTTAGAATGATGGATAATTTTCCAACTGGCTTATATTTTTGACTTTTTTGTAGTAGGCTTACATTATTTATAATCAGAATAATAAAAAGTGTTTTTGAATTGGTATATACAATTGGTACAGAATCACCAACTAATCCTCACAACATTCTGAATATCCCCTGTTAATAGATTCCTTTCAGCTGAATTGTTACCAAGAGTCCTTGGATAGTTTCCCAAACCAGTTAATGCTCATTGCACCAGTGACTGATATATTGTAAGGTGGTAAAACATCATGTAAATGAATGAAATGTGAGTATGAAAAGTCACTTCTACAAAAAGACACATTGAAGAAGGTACATTGCTAAAAGAAGGGTTGCAATTAGTTGTGGGAAGGTGGTATTACAAAACTTTGGGAAAATTTATTAAAATATAGAACAGTTTTGCATTCAGATTGTCATACAAGTGTCTTTAATTCTTTCACTTTCAAGAACAAGAAACAAAAACTGGATACCATCCATGATATAATTTAAGTGTGATTTGTGCAAGAAAGTTGAAGAGATCCTTAGTTAATACACTTACATTCAAGGTAAAGGTCTCTTTTTTCTACCAAAAATGTGACATTCAAGTGTCTATTCATATGTTTCAAGCAAAAGTAAAACTACAAAATTTTGTGTGCTTGTATCAATCTTGTAACTAAACCACAAATTATTGGTCCTTACTGGTCAGATAAGAGGGTCACTGTTGCATACAGTGTGTACACACAGAGTTACTTCTAGTCATACATGTACGCTATAATTTGTTTAAGAAACTGTGTTATGCCTATACTTCTAAGTAAATGTATATGTGTGAATATAAAGTCATATTTGTATATACATGTATATATGCATGTGTCTGCTTTCACCCACACACTATTTATATACCATGAAATTAACTACTCTACTGCTTGACCAAATCATGCATTCATGCAGTAGACCTTTCATAAGTAGGTAATTTAGCAAACTCAAAGTGTGAAATTAAACTTGGTGACAATGACCGTGGTGCGTGTAGGCACCATAGTTCTGGTTGAAAGCATCATGTTTAACTTACTGTTCCTTTGTCCTTATCAGCAATGGCCAGAGCCAAAGAATTTCTTGTTCAGCCACCTAAGATTCACTTTCTGGTGGAGCTCAAGTACCTAAACCTAAAGCACTTAGCCCAGAAGCACTATTTACAACCAACTCAGAAGTTTGCCTAGAAACTCTTCACTTAGTCCAACTCGTTCAAGCACCTTCTTCTTCATGTCAGGCCAGAAAAGACTGGCTAAAGGAGATCAGAAGTCCAAAATAAAGAAGGAAATTGCTCTTGTTGAAAAACAGATAAAAGCATTTTGTTTTGATGAGTGGACATATTTTCAGTATTCTCCTTTGCTGGAAAGATATAAAAATAATGACATACAGCGTGGTGTTATGCTGGTGAGTGACAGAGAGTGAAAACATGTTCTAAGTGAGGTGCTGATAAATAGTTAAGTCTGAATTCAAATGTTTGCCCTTTGCTTTCCATCTCCATGATCTTGTACAACCTACCTCATATCTCTAAAACTTATTTCCTCATCTTAAAAATGAAAAAACTATCACCATCCTCATGAGACAACTGTGAAATTAACCAAAATCGCTTATAATCCCTGGCACATTTGTTGGGTGGGAGATCAAAATATTCATTTCTCCTTCTACTCAAGTTTTGGTGTCTTAATCAGAAATAGGATTCTTTGAGGATCCAGAGGGAAACTGTAGATCAGAAGGTCTGGTCCAGTTTTGACACAGGATAATCGCCTTCTCTTTAAAATACTTTTTTATAATTCATTTTTTAAAAATAAGCAATGGAAAATTTTTACAGATGATTTTGTGTCTAAATTTTTTTGTAACCTTTATGTCACTGAGAATTCATTCTATTAGTAATATTTATTTCTGTATTCCCTCCCCTCCTCTCATTCACACACACACACATACACTCACACACACACACACACACACACACACACACACACA